GTACAGCAACATATTATTCAACGGAAGCTGGGTGCTGTCCACGTGGGCACCGTGACCTCGAGCCACGTGGCTTCTCGGCATCTTGAACTTTCCCCTCACAAGCTGACCCAAGATCTCCCCACACACAAGAAGAAGTTTACACGGAGTAAAAAAAAACACTGTCCACCGAATATGAACTCCGCATCGATCTGATATCGCTGTCTCACTTGCAAATTTACACTCTGCGTTTCAATTTCCATGATCGAGCTCGATTGTTTTTTTACACACTGCAAGGCAGTCGTACAGTGACAGTTGCCAACCACGCTGTGTTAAATATAATGAGAGAATTTCTTATTTCATATTGGGAAAATGAGTCGTTCCTTTTTTGGTCCTAAAATTTTCTTCGTTCCCTATTTGACACTCACTTCAACTTTCATCTCTAATTTGACACTACCGTCAAATCCGTTAATTAATTGGTGTTAATCGGTAAATTAAAAAGCGTTTTGCCCTAGAAAAAAAAAAAGCGGCGAAAAAATTTGAGAGAAAAAAAACGCGCCGCTTATGATGATGCATGCGCCAAAATGCAAAAAAAGGCGCGGGTTTTTTTTTTCCTCTCAAATTTTGCTTCACGCTTTTTTCTAGGGCAAAAACGCCTTTTAATAAAATACCATAACACCGTTAGCTAACGGATTTGACGGCAGTGTCAAATTAGGGATGAAAGTTGAAGTGAGTGTCAAATAGGAACGAAAAAAATTTTAGGGCAAAAAAAGAAACGACTCATTTTCCAATATCAAATAAGGAATTCTCTCAATATAATAAGGCAGCACGTGGCTGTGAAGCGACCTTTCCAAAAAAACAAAGAAAAAACTTTCGAAAAACAGAGCATAGTTCCGAGCAGTAGGGATCACTTTGTTTTCTCAACACTATTCCAGTTCCTGTACAGTCCCCACTTTTTTCTTCAGCTTTAGGGCAACCATAATATACATTGACTAAGTAGTGCATATACATGCGACCAGCGACCTATGTAATTAGTCCATAACTATTCATTTCATTTAGCCAACAAATAGTCTATAAAGAGAGAAAAAACCCCCCTTCCATTGTTCCAACCAACAAGAGAGATGAGTAAGAAACAATAATATTTTTTATTACTTATTATGGGTACGCTATAATGACTGTCTTTTGCTACGTACTACTCCAGTGACACGTAAACGATATTTCAGCTAGGTCATAGGGTATATGTTTTCTACGGACTCCTCTTATTGCTACATCGTGGGCACATCGCACTCATGACCATACAGCCAACCAATATACACAGAGGGGCCGTTTGGTACGGCTCCTCGAGCAGCTTCAAAAGCACTTCCATTGCTCCACCAGCCAAATGGGAGAAAGTGGATCCGCTACACGTCTGGAGCAGCCGCGGGAAACCGCTGAGAGGAGAGGAGAGAGAACTGGAGCCGGAAAAACAAGCTTCGCCCAGCTCCGCCCAGTTGCCGTGGGCCAGCGCAGGGCGATGGGCGATGGGCGGATTTGTCCTCATCGAGCCGTGCGGGCACGCGAGGCAGTCGGTGGCGGGCGGCGCGGGTCCGTTGGAGTGGCTGCCGGGCGTGCAAGCGACGGAATGGCTGGGAGGCGGGCTGCCAGGCTGACGCGGGCTGGGAGACGGTGCGGAAGTGCGGCACCGCTGGCGAAGACCGGAGGTTGAAGGAGATGCGGTGCCTACCCAGCCGCGTGAGCACATGAAAGAAATAAAGAACAAGAAAAGAAAAGAAAAAAGAAAAAAAAAGAGTATTACGGACATTTTGTCTTTTTGGACTATAGGACAAGTTGTTTTGCCGAACGATAAAAAAAATGTTTCAGCTCTCCAACTGAATTTGTTCTGCTACGAGTAAAAAGCTGTTTTGGCCGAAACCGGAGCTCTACCAAACAGGTCAAAAATATGTAAAATCTAATTTTTTTCAAAAATAAATAATTCTTTGTGCGCATTCATATTTTCAAGACAAATTACCGAGCTTTGTCTTGGTGCCATCTCTGACTGACGCCACGGTTCTTCCGTGCTTGTGCCAACCAACAGCGCGGTCGCCGACCACCTGTCCGCCGGCGCGCGCCACCGCACCCACGAGAACGGCGTGTTCATGACGGTGGGCGGCACGGGCGCCATCACCGCCATCACCACGGTGCTCGGCGGGGCTCCGGGGGCCAACATCGTCCTGCCGCGCCCGGGCTTCGCGCCGTACGAGGCGGCCTGCGAGATCGCCGGCGCCGAGCCCCGGTTCTACGACCTGCTGCCGCGGCGTGGCTGGGAGGTCGACCTCGCCGGCGTGCGCGCGCTGGCTGACGCCACCACGGCAGCCGTCGTTGTCATCAACCCCAACAATCCGTGCGGCGCAGTCTACTCTGCTCAGCACCTTCTACAGGTGAGGTGATTATTCAACTGCAAAGTTCAGTCATTCAATGGTAGTTCATGAATAATCCGTATATATTTATAGGAATGTATGAAAATAAGCTTCTACTTCTACAAATACTAGAACAAATGCACCTCATGCTGGTGCATACGTGTCCATGTTTCAAAACTGCACACAGTGATACCATGCTGACTGCAAACTGCGTTTCACTGAATCCTGCAGATTGCTGAAACTGCAAGAGATTTGGGGATTCCAATCATAGCAGATGAGGTATATGCACATATGGTTTTTGGTGGCAGCAAGTTTGTGCCGATGGCTTCCTTCGCGCACATTGCGCCGGTTATCAGCATCGGAGCTCTGTCGAAGAGATTCATGCTACCAGGATGGCGTCTTGGTTGGTTGGCCTTCTGTGATCCTAACGGTGCACTCAAGCATGTAAGGCACTTGACTCCTTACCATGTTTCCACATTTCCCTCTATATGCATTCAGATGTCAATTCATAATTTTGATCTTCAAAAGGTCAGGACTGCGACAGAGATGCTGCTGAATGTGACTTCCGGTCCTGCCTCCATAGTTCAGGTCAGATAGCAATTGCTGAAAATGGTTCTACATGTAAAAAATGGAATACATACTGATGCAGATGAAATCTGTTGACACATAGGCGGCAATTCCGAAGATTCTTTCAGTTGAACATCATGAGTTCCACAGGAATGTTGTTTACCTGCTTGAGTCTGCAGCGGACGCTCTGTACAGAAGAGTGAACCAAATTGAAGCTCTGAAGTGCTACTCAAAGCCTGAGGGTTCAATGTTTATCATGGTTAGTCAGAGATACACAAGATTCAGTATTCAAAAGTTTGTTACTTCCCGATATAAAGTGTTGATATTCACAAAATCCTGCAGGTTGAGATCAACACTTCAATTCTATACGGTGTTGCCGGTGACATGGACTTCGCACGTGAATTGATCAAAGAAGAATGTGTCCTGGTTCTACCAGGTATAGTTCACTTGATTTGTTGCAGTATTATTTATCCAACCTTTAACAGGTGCATTGGTTTCTCTGGCTACTGAAAATTGAATGATTGTAATAGGTTAACTTGTTATTCTAGTACAAGATTCTTCATACTGGCATGCTTAATCTACTTTAAATTGATCTGTAGTGGCAGTTTCAATATCTTTTTTTTTGTTTCTCATTATTTTACAGGTTCTGTCATTGGGTTGAAGAACTGGGTTAGGATATTTTTTGGAGCACCTGTTAGTTTAATACTAGAAGCCTGTGACAGGATTGAGTTGTTCTGCCGGAGAAGGACACTCAAGCAAAACAACTGAAAAATTGGCGATGTTCTGAGACCAGGAATTAGGGTTTTTGTTAGCCCAGTAACATATATATAGCTTGAATTTATTTTTCCAAGATATCTGATGCACAATCTGAGATTTATATATAGAATCTGAGAACAGACGCTTGCCTATAGTTGAATATAGGTTATACATAATTTAGATGTAACAGTGTACACATTTGTCACATCTTTACTCGCACCATTTACCTCACAGATGCATTAAGGTTATAGTCTTTTCAGTGATCAAACAACAAGGAAAAGAGCAAGCTAACATTAAGTTCATATACTGAAAGTTCTTATCTGTTCAATGCATCTCAATTTCAGACTTCACCAGAATAGCACAAGTTACAAATGTCAAATATCGTGGATACTCACTGGATGGTATAAAGATATATTGCTAGTTATGACATTTGGGCGAAGGAGAAACCAATCATTTGTAACTTAACATTAACAGTCAATGTACTACAGCAGCCTGACAAGGACAAAAGCCATAGAATCTGTGAAAAACTGAGTTCTTTGAATTGTGCTAAAACTGACAACTACAATTTCCCAACTACTCTAAACTCTATGCAAAAGAAGTGAAAATAAAAATGGTTCTGCTTTAAGGAAATACAAAACTTCCATTAACAGCAGTAATATACTGCCAGTTTATATTATTACTGTGTTTTTCTATTCATGTGGCTCTTGTTGGTTTTTATCGTAGCTTCCACACCTTGCTTTGTTATTCTTGAGTGGTTAGAAAAGGCTTTACCTAGCTAAAAAGCGAGAAGGCTCTATCTGTCTCAACGAAGAAAAATGTTCTGTTTGTTTAATGTGCGACGGAACGGCAACCACTTTAACCAAGCCAACAAGGACCTGTGCAGCAGCCAGCAGACATAACTCTAAGCTAGTAAGCTTACAATAAATGTTTTAGAATCTTCTAACTACATATCTTTATAATTTGTTTAAAACTACCCACATTGTGAATATCTGATGTTAAATCTCTGACTCCTTTCATAAGTCGGTCCTAAATGAGATTCGTGAACCAACCCAACTCTCTGCAACTATGCTATTACCTTCTACTAAGGCTAAAAACCAAGTGCCAAGTTTGACCAACAAGCATTTCTTTCCCAAAGGACTGATGAAAACAAAAATTGTCGGAACATAGCTTTATTTCATAGTATATAAGAAGCAGTTCACCATATACCAAGTATCATGATTCACGACTCATGAGTAAGAGCCGAGGTTATTTCGAGCAATACATACTCGAGCAAGCGAACAAAAAGCGAGCGAAAGAGCTAGCTGTTCACCGACTACGTGCGGCGTAGACGAAGGAAGCAGCTGCTACCACGGTTGTGGTAGCTGGACCCAGCCACGTCCAGACCACATTCTTCCCCCTGCGCTCTGCCTCGGCCACTGCGAGCTGCAGCTGCTCAAGCTCCCCGTTCAAGTCAATGATTTGTTCGTTCCTGCCCCTAACTTCTGCCTTCAGTGCCCCAATCTCATGATCTTTGTCTCTGTTATAGGACGCAAGCTCCTGAATTTTAAACTTCAGCTCATTTGCTTCGGCTTTCTCCTGCTCAAGTTCTTTCAGAACCAAATTCTTCTCATCTTCGAGGAAGGAAGACTTGTCATCAAGATCATCGCAGCGAGCATGGAGCTCAGCCATGGAACTGTGGAGCTTCTTCAGTTCATCCCTCAACTTTCCAGCCTCAGCATCTTTAGCATGTACCATGCCTAAAGCATCATCTTTCTCGGCCATAATCCTGTCCATGCTCCCTTTCAGTGTCTCCAATTCAGACTCCATCGTTTTCTTCTCAGCATTATGTGCCTCAGCAGCTGCTTCATTCGCCTTCACCAATTGATCAATCTCACTTTCAAGCCTAGCCACTTCAGCGACCACAGCATTTTTCTTCTGCTCCACCTCCGCAACCATGGCTTGGAGCTTCTCCACCTCCTCCTTGGTAGAAGCCATCTCTGCCTGCATTTTGTCCATTTCCGACTCCAATTCAAGGTTCCTAGCATCAGCAGCCGAGAGCTTTGCTTCCAAAGAAGCCATCTTCGCCTCCAATTCTGCCTTCCTGGATTGCAGAGCCTCCAATTCCTTCAATTGATCCTGAAGCTTTGACTCCATCTCCTGCTTGTAAACCTCGTCTTCCTTCTTGAACTCGTTGAAGGTTGATTCCAGCACTGCCTTCTGGGACTGAACATCACGAGCTGACGCCGTCATAGCCTCCAATTGGCTCTCCAATTCGCTCCTCTCCGCGCGCAGGTTCGAGTTCTGGGACTCCAATCCCACTAGCGCAGCCCCCAGTACCGCCACCCGCTCGGCCGCCGCCGCCGCCTCATCCTCCTTCGCACGAAGCTGCTCCAAGAGCTGACCATTCTCCACGACCGCCGCCTGAAGCCACGCCGCAGCCTCGGCCCCGGCGCTGGCCTCGCTCGCCGCCTCCGCCTGGGCGCGCTCGAGCGAGTCCCGCGCCGCCGCGATGCGGTCCAGCAGCGCGGCGCGCTCCTCCTCCGCGGCCTTGAGCGGGGCCGAGACGGCCGCGAGCAGCACTGCGCGCTCCACGTCCGCGAGCTCGGTGGCGTCGGCGGAGAGCTCGCCGAGCCGCGCCTCGAGCGCCGCCACCCGCTTCCGCTCCTCGGCGGCCGTGCTGATGAGAATGCCGTTGAGGCGCTTCAGCGTCGCGGCCTCCCCATCGCCGCGCTCCGGCGGCGACGAGTCCCGCCTCGGCTCGTCCGGCTCCGCCTCCGCCGCCGCCGTCGCCTCCCCGTTGGCCGCCGCCTCGCCCGCGTCGGTTACCTCCGCAGAAGCCGGCGGCGGTGCCTCAAGATGCTCCCCACCAATCGCCTCCGCGGAAGCCATGGCTTCGTCGGCGGCGGCCACGGCGGCTCCGCGCTTGCCCTTCTTGCTCTTGCCCATGGCCGCCGGGTGACGTGTCCCCCCTAATAAGCTCCCCCACCACTAGGGTTCGGGCCCCCGTCGGCGCGGCAAGCCTGCCACCTAAATAGCTCGGGGCCGGGGTAACCGACGCGTGGGTCCAGGCGGCGGGAGACCGAGCGGTCAGTGGCGGGCGGGTGCGGGAGGCGGAGAGGGTAGCGCGACCGTTGGGAAGCGTGAATTCGAAACGGGCGGCCAGGATGCGCCGCATGGCTTATCGCCTCCCGGGGCCCAGACGCACGCGTGCCCATGGTGGAGGGTGGGGATGCGAAAAGTGCTTCAGCGGACAGGCACACGTGTGCCGCTGCGTGCGTCTTCGATGCGCGCCACTGGGTGGTGGACCAGCAAGTGGTTTGATGAGTGGCACATTGGGTGTCTGTGTGTTTTGTTGATCAAAGCGCAAAGGGTGATGGCGAACTTGGAGTGCTTTTTTTTCATATATTGCCACTGCTACCTGGCTTTACATCTCTGTGCCATAGTCGAAATTTGTTTGCCTCATGTGTATAGTCGTAGTATTGCTTTATCTCTAGTTGATCCAAATGTTGCCTAGACCACAAGTATATAATATTTATAGACAGGAAAGGCTATGCACATGCGTTGCAACAAGAAAAAAACAATCAAAACATTAATAAAAAAAGACGATGAAAATGATGCATATCTATTTATGTTTTATTCTTTCTATAAAATTTCAAATTTATAACTTAACTTTGTGATTGCCATAACATCCATAATAATACAAGTTACTGAAGACAATAATAATGTTCTATTAAGTCTATATCAAATTAAAATACATTCTTAACAGGTTTTTTCCCTCCCATTGCAAAGCACACGAATATTTAGATGTAAATATGTCATAATTTTAATTTTCACATTGTCCCGTGTTGTTAGAGTTAAATATTGAGCCCTGTGACTTACTTTCTTCGAGGGCCCATAAAAATATGTAATTCTAATATTTGATTAAAGTTGATAAGGGGTTAGTTACGACGTGTCAAGGATTGGTTCGTCCATCGATGATTATGATGGAAGACCTCTCTCGATTTTCCACATCACAGTCCTCGTCGAGGATTGCAGATATAAATTTATTTACACTGGATTAGGCAACAAATTGCTCAAGATTTCAGTTAGTTTATGACTAGATTAGTTGGAGCATTGGTCAATTAGTTTATTTTAATAAAAATAGGTTTTATTTCTAATCAAACTACATAAAAAATTCGGTGGTGGAAATCTCTATTTCTTAGAGAAAGATCAATGGTTCAATGACCCGTAATGTTGTATTTATTATCAGTTTTGAAAACGTGGACACGGAGAGGATGAGCAAAACAAAAAAAAAAGGACCTAGAGAGGACGAGCAAAACCAAAAAAAAAGAGAAGAAACGCGGTCACGGGGTGGAGAAAAACAAAAAAATAATGGAAATGCGGACATGGACACGGAGCATACAAAAAAAACGCGGGAGGAGGCCCGCAGAAAAAATGGGACAAAAAAATGCAGGATGAGGCAGGTAGAACAAAAAAAATGGGAGGAGGCAAGCAGAACAAAAGAATGGAACAAAATTTTTGACTTGTTAATATTAGGTACAGATTGGCTTACGAGAACGAGATGTGAGATTGTGATGGATCAATATATTTTATTGCACAAACCAAGTAGAAAAGTTAGAAGCGAGAAGATGATGGGCTTGCCCCAATCAAAACAAACAACCTAATAATAATCTATTTTATTAACACAATAGTTTTAAAAGGAATTCTAAAAGGTTCGCCAAAAGGATCTAGAAAGTACGCGATTAACCGGAAAAAATAAAAGATATTGGATTTTATGATGATCTAACATACTAGATTTATCAAGACAAATTATGTCATAAACAATGTACATTTAAATACTAACATGTTCCAATTCAACATATTTCTCTCTTGGCCCAACAAATAAATCTATAACTAATAGTAAAGAAGCAAAATTTTCCCCCTTTTTTTTGGTATGGCCTATCATAACTAACTTCGTGAATGTGAAAACCGTGAACGTCAAAACCTTCTTTGTTATGTGTCTATGACCCTCCTGTTTTATATATGACATATGTCGGACTTGTTAACTAACTTGGATAGCTAGGAATTCTAATCCTAATCCAAATAGATTCTTCGGATCCTACGTACCTAAATAGGAATAATCCAAATATAAAAAAAATATAAAAATAAAATTAGACAAATCTGTAGGTATCTATATCTATATCTATTTCTGTCTGGGTCTCTTTTTTTCTTTTTTCTATTTTCCGTCGTCCATTTTTCCTATGTCCGTTCGGATGGTTGCTCAGCCCTTTTTAACTTTTCTTTGGTTTCGTCCGTGCCAATTTTCCTCTTTGTATTTCCTGTTTTCTCTTTGTCCGTCTCTATTCTGTTTCTGTCCACAGTATGTAGGATGCAGCCAGTAGGACCAAACGGCGATCTAATGCTAATAGACACAAGCACCCTACTGAACTGAACATACCATGTAAGCAGTACAAGCAAATCTAATGCTAACAGACAGTATTAGCTTGTAGCCTCAGATAAATGAAGGACAGCTTCAAAAAGGACTCGTAAGTGGCGTAGTCACAAAAGCATAATACAAAAATTTCAAACTCAATGAAATTTGAAAGAAGCAGTGCAGAAACAAGTGTTTAACATAGTAACAAACATGCTAAGGGAAGGAGAGAATAGGAGCAGTACCAAAGCATAAAACTATAACCAACAAATCCTCACAAAAGGCATAAGGCCAATGTGAAAAGAAAACTAGTGCCACTTCAACCATATGAATACATCATCATAGGCCATAGACTGAACAACACCAAAAGCATGTAATCATAGAAGTGAATGAAAATCCAATAGATTAAAGGGAGAAGAACAATACCAACAACAAAAAATACTATTACCACCTCATCCATATGAATATGTCATCATAGGCTTGCCACAAAAACAGTTAGCTACAACCTTCTACTATATGTATGAAAACAATGTGAGGACCTAGGTGAGTGCTTTTAACAAAAATGTCATATATATGTTTGTGTAAAGAAATAATAGTGTCACTTACTAATTCAATACAACCTCAAAGTCTATGTATGCATCTTTTTTGTAATTCCAAGAGTCAAAGACACCCATAGGTACTTGTTGGGGAATGAGGACAAATTAGAAATGAAATCCAGTGTCCACTGGCGCCATCGCTAGCTACACCATGTAAATAATACAACTTTTATACCTTTGAAATATGAAAAGGTTGATCCTGGATAAATGGTTCAACTAGACTTACCCTAAGCAGTAGGGTGCAAGTAGACATCGTTATCACATATGCACTTAATGCATGAAAAGATATACGATGCCACCTTATATTTCAATTCATTCCACAAACTTTTCCAGTAGGCTTCTCTCTCCTGCTTATTCATGCACTACCGGATTCAGGAGCTTTGCCGAGTGCCAGGGGGCACTCGGCGAAGCCCCCAAAACACTCGGCAAACGGTTTTGCCAAGTGTTACACTAGGCAAACCCTTTTACGGCAAACGCTAGTTTGTCGAGTGTTTTTTGTTGTGCACTCGGTAAAAACGTTGCCGAATGCTCAAAAAACACTCGGCAAACATTTTCAGCAAAAAATAAAAAAAACAATTGCCACCACTAGCCGCCGCCCACCACGACTGCCACCGGCTGCCGCCTCCTCCAGCGCCCAGATCCGCCACCACGCCGCCGCCAGCACACCCACGCACCACCATGCCAGCACCACGAAGCCCCCCGCCGCGCTGCACGCCTGAAAGGTCCTTGTTGGTTTTGGTAATTGAGTGACAACCTAGGTGGACTAATTGTGTTTATGTGAGATACACAGGTGATTAGTCCACATGTACATGTGTATGAGCAACATATGCCATGGAGGTGAAAATGGCTTGGAGATGTTGCAAAGCTCACACATGTGATGATGAAGGAGCTTATTGCACATGAGACATGACATTGAGTCATGTGATCAAGGTGGAAAAGATCAAGACAAGACTTGGCTTGATGAACCGGTTGCAAGCGTGAAGGGCAAGTCAAAGGCTTTGGAGTGATGGACCGCGTGGCGGTGAAGCTTGAGCAAGACTTGGCGCCGATGGACGACAGCAACGGTGAAGAGCAAGTAGAGTCAAGATCGATGAACCAATATGATCATGTGATGATATGAAGTGGATCATATCATTGTTGATCGTGTTGGTGCATGTGTTGCATCGACATTGAAGGAGATGGAATGGAATACGCAAGGCAAAGGTATAACCTAGGGCGTTTCATTTCACCGGTCATAGGTGTGTAGAGAAGTTTATGACCGGGTTTAGGATAGATGGCCGTACTATCAAGAGGGGCAAACTTGTTTGCATATCGGTCATCTAGTGCCACTCGAGTGATCTAACTTTGCATTGTCGCTAGGATCGAGTGGCGTGGCAAGTTGAGTGGCTAACATCCTTTGGGAAATGATTGTGAAAATGCTAACACACATACACATGGTGGTGTACACTTGGTGGTGTTGGCACATTTACAAAGGAGGTGGTGTTGGCACATTCGGCGCTTTCGGGAAAATAGAATGCCTATTTTCTATTGCGCCGGATGCAAGTTCTTGTGGTTAGCACATTGGAGCAAGGGTGATGAAGTTAGAAGTGAAAACGAGTTAGTCGCGAAGATGCTGGCGTCGGTCAACTGACCGGACGCTGGATCTAAATGCACCGGACGTACGATGACACAGAAGCTGGAGTGTGACCGGACGCTGGCTATGTCCGATCAAGTGTGACCGGACGCGTCCGGTCGAGGTCGGTACCTTAACTGGAAACGACCGGACGCTGGGGGTTCAGCGTCCGGTCAGTTGAAGCTGCTGCGTCCGGTCAAGTCAAGTGACCGTTGGAATCAGGACACGTGGCCGTCTGCGGGCGACCGGAGGCTGAGGTCCAGCGTCCGGTCGGCCCGACCGTTGCCCAGTAAAGGGGTAACGGCTAGTTTAGCCCTTGGGGCTATAA